CTGTGGAAAATTTTCAGGGCAATGTGTTTTCGCTTCGGTTACTCCTCGTGCTATAGGGGAGGCCAATCTCGTTCCATCAATTACTTACAATCATCATCGTCATCATCAGCATCATCATGGTATAATAAAACAAATAGTGTAACTCCATACAAACATAATAACGCGGCTTATTTGTGTGCATGCCCGTCCGGGCCGTGTACGGATACACATATTCGCATACCTAATATCCCGGTGCACTCGAGTTAGGGTCAAAAGGTTGTAAACCACTAATGTGCCGTGCCAGGTTCACGGCAATAAAATAGGATACTTCGGTCCACAAAAATTTATTCCATAGGTAAAGAAAGGCAACAAGAAAAGGTGTATAAAAAACAGGTACAACGCTACAAAACACTCCCTACTTAGATACTAAACGTGGGACAGACTTACTCCGAAAGGGTCGAGTTGTACAGAATTACAGATTGGTATTAACATTAAAATTGGCACATGATTTAGATTGAGAACTGGTAAAAAGATCAAAATTAGGCGCAATTAAAACTTATAGCGGAACTGCTCGCTACAGCGATGAGCAGGGAGTGACGACGAAACGAAACAAAATGAGAATGGTGAGGCAAACGAATTAAAGAACGATTCAAAATTTGAAAACAAGTGGCCAGAAACCAGAAAACAAGTGACAAAAAAGTGGGATGACGGTAGAAGGAGGTCACATCGTCACAAGGGATACACGATTTATTGTTTTAAATAGAGTTTTTGTATCGTTATGGATCATATGCCTCAGAATCGATCTCATAACATCGTTTCAAAATTTGTAATAAATAAAACACCTTTATTACATGATTTAATTGCCATAATATGTTTTTTTTTTTTGCTTTCCACACATGCCAATCATTTACATCTAGCTAAACTCTTCAATAATAATATCATATAACTTAATGTCCAAAGCATTGTCCTCCTATTCATTTTCCGTTGATTTACTTGACGAAATCATTAAAACAAAAGTCTCTACTTACATTTGTTTAAATTGTGAATACGGTCTAAACGATTCGATCCACTGTCGTTTTGAATCGATTCGCTTAAAAATGAATCGATTAAAAAATCGCTACATCCTATGCAATGCAAGGATCTCTGCTGTTATTAAAACGTCTACGCTCTAGGTCGTTACAGGCAATGGTCAATCTAGCGTATTACCAAACTGCTTTCTTCAAAACGCCATATCTATACTAGCTGTCATAGTAGCACTTAAACACCTTGTGAAAGAGTTCGTCCAAGGAAGTACTGCCACTTTACCTATTTCAGCCGCCAAGCAGTAATATCAGCATTGCTGTGTTCCAGTTTTAAAGGGTAAGGGCGCTGGTTAAATTACAAGCATATGGGACTTGTCAACTTATGCCTCAAGGTGACGGGCGTAGTGGCAATGCCCCTAAGATCTTTGCAATTTGAAGGTCTGAGTTACACTGCAACTGTTGTGGATAAACATGTCGCTTACCACCAGGCGCACGACTTGTTCGTCCCGTCAGTTGGTATTATTAATAAAAGCTGTACGATATATACGTGACCAAAACTTATCCAAAACAAAAATATTATTACAAGGGGTATTAAACTCTTGTATTGTAACAAATAAGATACCTTGTGTTTGTTACCCTACTTATTGTCAAATAGCTCATTACCAGACAATAATGGTACAGATTTTGATATATTTTCACAAAGCATAAACAAAAATTTAATTAATTTTTAATACTGTCGTGTTTTTTCATAATATTTATTTCGTACTATTTATTCATAATTCATCCGGTAATTTCCTTATTTCATGTTTTTTAATCAGCTGTGTATATATTTTTTTGTGTACAATTAATTTCGAAAATCGCCTCCAGTGCAACGGAACAAGATGTCAATGTGTAGCTTGATATGCTGGCGTGGTGTCTGTAATTGTGCAACATTGAATAAATAAATAAATATTACATATCTTATTATTGTTGTAAACATCAACATGAACATTAGTATAAACGCGTAAACATCAAACGATAAGCATATAAACAAATAAATATATAGCCAATTAATCGAGATGATCTTATCGCTTAATTTCAATACATTAATAGGCAAATTAACATATTGAACTTAGTATTCAAGGCAAACATGGACCGGATCTAGGATTTACGATATTGTACAATAGCTTAAATATTCGACCTACGTGTGCAAATTCATATCTGTATTATTTGCATCTGATAATTATGCGAACCATTCAACAGGTTTCTTTTGACTTGTGCCTTATGCGTTATGTTGTTTTTCATACATTAGGTTGTTAATTACACTGTAATGAGTAAACCTATTTAGTACACAAGCAGTCAAATGGTAATAGTTATTTAATATAAGTAAATTACTATAATTAATAACACAATCAATGTATTTTCTTTTAAAGTAGCCTATTATTGTGTCCCCCTACGGGGCAAAGGTCTCACTTCTCGACGTCCACAACTGCCAATTTGACGCAATGTATTTTTTTGTGATAACAAGTAGCGGGACGAAGAAGTCGTGTGCCTGGTGGTAAGCGACACGCCTGTGCATAACAGTCGCAGTGCCACTGAGAGCTTTAAATCGCAACGATTTGAGGGGCACTGCACGGCGCCTATCACCCTGAGACTACTAATTTCTCCAACACTCTTACCCTTCAAAATTGAAACGCAGTAATGCTTACTGCTTGGTGTCAGAATAGGTAAGGTGACTAACTCTTTCACAAGCTCTTCTGCTGCTTGTTAATTGTCAGACCAGTCCCTTGCCGTGTGAGACCATCTCTATGGGTCCATGCGACAAACTTATCCAGCGCAGTCTCATTTCAGTTTGACAGTCCTTTTCAAAACATTGTTATATCTACCAGTGTAGGTCAATCAAAGCTGGTTTTTATTACACCGTTGGAAGCCAAGATTTAAGTTTTCCCTTTATCTTTTCGTAAAAATAACTTGTTTCCAACCTAAGTGTCGCATACCCACTTTTACCTTACTATAGACAAATAGTTCTTATACCATTTCGATCCAATTCCGTTTTTTTTTTAATATCTACTTCTTATATTTTTACAATGCACTCGGGAGTCGTAACTCATAGAGGTAAATAGAGGTGCACACTTTATTGCATCATTGTAGTCTCCCAGTGTAATAAATCGCACAAGTGGCATGGCGGTGGGTGATTTATTCGCGTTGGTGATCCACTGTGATGTGCTCAAGTCGCTCAGCAGCCAATGAGCGGTTATTATTGCTGGTACCGCTAGTTTGAGTGGTACTGGTGGTTTGAGAATTGAAGGTTTAAATTGTAAGGTATCGGAGGAAGGGAATTTTAGTACCAGCAAAGTTCCATGTGAAAGAGTTCGTTCGGGGAAGTACAGCCATGGTATCTATTTTGGTCGTCAAGCGGTAATGTGAGCATTACTGCGTTCCGGTTAAGAATGGTGTGGGTGCTGGAAAAATTATAGGCACTTGGGACTTTTCAACAGACGTCTCAGGGTGACGGGCGCGGTGGCAGTGCCCCTCAGGCCTTTGCTATTTGAGAGCTCTCATGCCAAAAAAGTTTTGACGTTGGCTCCGCCCAAATTTGTGAAACAAGTATATGCCTGAAGTTCGCGTGACATGCGACAGGAGATGTTGAATTTTGCACATTAAAAGTACCAAATTCGTTTTAGCGGAATAACTCTAAAACTAAAGGGATTAAAAAAAATCCGTAGTGACAGTTCTCGATCATGCATAAATATAATTAATTATCTAATTTTTGTCCTAATAACCTGTAGCATTTCGAGGATGAATCGAAAAAATGTGAAAATTAGAGGTCATTTCGTGATTTTTATCTATCGAGGAAACTTTATTGTTTTTCTGATTAAGGTCTATGCTTGAATATATCGTGTACTTACTCATACAATATTTTATTTTTAACTTTATACCCCTCTAAAATGAAATCGAAGATTAGGAATTTTTCCTCTGCTCCCTCTTAAAGCTTTGAGCGACACTGCAACTGTTATGCACAGGCGTGTCGCTTACTACCAGGCGCACGACTTGCTCGTCCTGTCATTTGGTATCATAAAAAGGGAGTCTTTCAAAGTTAAACTCTTGTTTAGGTACTACAGAGAAAACTCTTTTCAATTATTACATATAACAAAGTACATTACATATAGTCATGATTGCGAACTAGAATAAAACAAACAAAAAACAAACCGAAATATATGTGTCAGAGTCGCAGCTAGGGGAAGGCCGTTTGTTGCCCAGTCTCGATGGAAAAGGGGCATGCATTATATGTATGTATGTAAGTAAACAAAAAACTAAAGACATTCATCCTTATTGCTTAACTAATCCCTTCTGCACAACCACATATCAACTCATCCGTGCAATACTGCTTATTCTCAGATCGACCATTGATCGATTTTATATTTCCGAAACGAAATAATACATCGAATTATGAAAACACCTATAGCTAAGCCTTATTTTGAGTAAGGAGATTATGTATCTATTTTCGTTGTATAATCACATCGGACTCTGTTCTTCGGATGAGTCGATATGTTTAACAAAATTAAAATGTACATATATTTATATATATATATAAGGTTTGTCTTAATTCAACTAACTGCTGATTTATCTACGTAAATACATTAATAATCCATAAATTTGTTGGTGAAATTGACAAGGACTATAATTACATTCATTGAACCTGCACTCTTTGGTCCAATTGTGAATGCTGGAGCGCACTGCTTGAAAAGCAGTATCAATGCCGGAAGTAGTTGTACAATGTCGCAGATGTTTAGTAGAAATAGTGTCAGCCCTAATACACTTGTGATACCCTGATTTTAAACGTCTTCTCGTCAAATGAATGCTTGACATGAATGTAAATATTAAAACTTATTTTTTGCACCTTTGACGACGAAAAACACCTAAGACACCCATGTTAACTTCGACTCTTACCATTTTAAAGTAAAAATAATTAATAGTTGCAATTTCTGTAAATAATAAAACAATAATCTGTTGTTCTAGTGTCACCAACGCGCGCGACAAACGGCGGCAGCGTTCACGCGTCTCCCGCGCGTGAATTGTCGCGTGACACGCCTGACTATCAGTACGGGCGCTTCGACGCAAGCGCACTGCACATCGCGCATGCGCTCAAACAAACCGAGCTACAAAAAGCATACCACAGACCGAGGGAGAAACCTATTGACTGTTATTTGGTAAGTATTGTTTTTTATCCTTAGAGTGATGCCACACGGGTGCCGCCGGTGCGTTGCGTCGTCGCATTGCTATTATTACAGTGCATCAAGTATAACACGAACAATGCGGTGTCGCAATGTAACTCCACTTACTTCCGCACCGCAGGACTCCCCGCTTCGTCTCCTGGCCCTTAGTTCGATACGCACGCGTTCCGTTACCGCTCGCCGTTTCAACGCACCATGTAATTCTAATTTATATGTAATACAACGCTGCGGCACCGCTCAGACGTCGCAACGCCGCGGCCGGCGCCAACGCACCGTGTGACATCACTCTTAGACCACCTACCTTTGATCTACGATTTAACCTACGTCAAAAACACACAATTTATATTCCCCAGAAGCAAGAGAGATTTGTGTTGTAAATACCACCAAAATTTTAATTTCTTTTTAATTGGTCACCCAGTATACATACTTTCTATTTACAATGAAACATTGTTAGATAATGATGTTGTATAGTTACGTATAAACTGCAATACAAAGATTATGACGACATAAAAGACCTGTTATGTCACTTGTCACCTGCTAGGTTCCACCGTCGCTTGCCTTTATGAGTTTTTTAACACTTTCCATCATCGGACTACACGTAGCTGCTTTTCTACCCCTACATTGTAGATATTCCAAGGATTCACACGAGGCGTTACGCTTCCACGTTCATATGACGAACGCCTATGGAGAGGTATTTCCTGAATGATATAACTTGGACCTTTACAAGGCGAGAGTGAATAGGTATTATTTAGGTGTGCATTCTTCATCGTCGACCTCATCGTCACTTTCCATCAAGTGAGATTGAGGTGAAATGGGCACTTATTTTTAACCGACTTCAAAAAGGAGGTTTTTGCGAACCGATTTCTAAAGGTGACAAATTAGAGGGTGAATCCGATTTTTTTGAATTTCACCCACTTTCCTTTGACGTAGACTTTGATCATTCCTTCCCTGGTCTCTTCATATGTAAATCCAATGAAAATAAAACACATCGAAAATGAATAAGCGAATTTTATCGGTTTTTTTATAAAAAAAATATTATTTATAAAAAAGAGCGCAATATTTCAACGACCCACACGACTATTGGTTTGACTTCTCGGTTCATATTTAACTTATAGATCAAGAGTAGTTAAAATGTTGAAAACGTTGTAATTATCTACCAAGTATCTCAACTAGTCCGGTAGTTACACAACCTCCATGCTTCCCACAACCTACTTCTACGTCCAATAGGAGACTGTTGCATTCACCGTTCACAGAATGGTCCATTGACTTATCAATTCCTTTTTTGCCATATACGTGTAATGGTAAGCGCGTTATGGATTGCTATCAATGGTAATGTCCGTCAATGTTTACTTGAAATTGAGACCGGTGGTTTAATATAGGCCTTGCGGTAACGTTGAGGTTGTAAAGTAGAATTTTCTTTGATCTTGCAATTTTATTGACTTAGATTTGCGTGAGACAATGCCGTTCGTTATAAGTTACATACTTTTACTTCGTATTAAAATTTTATGTTCAATAATCGGTTTTCAAATTGTTTTTCGAAATATATTTCGAAGTTCAATTTAAGATTTTTTTTTTTAATACAAAGTGACGGGACGCACAAGTCTTGCGCCTGCACACGGCGCCTTATCCTGCTAGCCCTACAGACTTGCGCGAGACAGACACAAAGCGCGAGATACTGCTATATATAGCTCATAGATACTCGTGCTTTATCGTTCTTCCACCAGTCCCGCCCTGTCATGCTAGCTCTGCAGGATAGAGATGGGATGGAAACCATTTGAGGTTTGGTCATGTAGAAAGAATGAATGCTGGTAGATTGACAGCACAAATTTATAGAGCGAATGTAAATGGAAGCGCGGGGAGTCAAAAGTCAAATATTCATTTATTCCATAGATAAAATTTTTACGCTAGAAAACGTCATTTTTAAGGTACTGCTAGTTCACTACGCTGACCTCCCTGAGAAGAACGAGTAAGAAACTCTAGGGATTGCTCTTTTCAAGTAAAGTTAAATGCTATAGAATACATTTTGAATCGTATTTGTGTCGAATCTAGACTCATGTTGTCTTTCCATACAGCTTTATCTAACACGTAGTCTACAATTTTGTAATATGACTTTTGAATGAATGAATGAATGCTCCGGTATCTTATTGTATAAACGTATACAGTTCCTCATAAAAGAATCGTTTACCTTAGTTAAACGAAAACGTGGTACCATGAGTTTGGACTTAGTTCTAATATAGAGGTAGTATATATCTCCTACTGGGGATGTCAGGATACCAATAAAAAAAGATAGTGATGGAAGTGGTGGAAGCAATTGAGATTTTTTTTTATAATATCAAGTGACGGGACGAACAAGTGGTGCGCCTGATGGCAAGCTTCATGCCTGTTCATAACAATTGCAGTGCCATTCAAGAGCTTTAAATCGCATGGATCTTAGGAACACCGCTACTGCTCCTGTCACCCTGAGACATAAGTTGACTAGTCTCATTATGTGCCTGTAATTTCACCAGCACCTTCCAAACCGAAACGCAGTAATGTTTACATTACTGCTTGGCGGCAGAAATAGGTAAGGTGGCAGTAACTCCGCGGACGAACTCTTTCACAAGGTGCTCTACTGCTACTAAATGGTTGTCAATATTTTTGCGTTTTAGGCATTGACTTACAAATAAATGGACGACGGGTCTAATACAAAAAACACGAAAAAAATGTCCCAAGTCAACCTATTTAAACGTAGTGACATGTAAAGGAATATGAAAAAGCTAAAACGTTGAATTTAAATTGTAATGTCATCGCAGTACTGTCTAATTTTGCTTGCTTCGCTGTCAGTCGAACAAACGAAGACTCAAGCGTGAATGACGCTCTGTATACGATTTTAACGCCCTATAAGTTCGGACACTTTTTAGCGCGGACCCGACGTCCATATAATTGTAAGTCAATGGTTTTAGGGCTCTAAATGACTGCAACTGCCATAGATGTGACCTTACCAAAAATATCTCAAATGGCTGGTTGATTTCGCATAACAGTGAAATTGTCGTATATATATACGGAATAATAATACATTTTGGAAAAATTATATAGTAAAAATGAGAATACATTGATTAGTATATATAAAAATGTTCACAATAGAATAAAACACAAACTTACCTCGAAATATTACAAGAAAAACCGCTGTATTCAATATGTACTTTACATAATATACTAATGATTTTTTTCTTTATATCAACTGAACTAAATAGAACGCTTATAGTTTTGTTATACATTTTCCAAATGGCTTTGATATCGTTTGTAAAAACATAATTGTGAAATAAAGCCAGTGTGCCTGACCCGCGCAATAAAACCGATACAGTACGGGAAAAAAATTATTCGAGCTGAGGTAGTATCGCTTAATGATTAAATCTAAATAGGTACAAGCAAAATTAAACTACGGCTCAGAGGATGCTACATCTCCTGGTTTCGCGCCATGTTTAACGACGTCTGTTGATTCCAAAGCTAGATTTCTTCTCAATTTAGATTTGATCCAAGTTAACAGGCTTTGCGTGCATACCGTTAAAAGTGTACACTGCTGGTCACGGGTTTTCTCTAAGGAGAAAGCCTACACACGTTTTCCAAGGGTTGGACTGGAACTTTTTCGACACACAGGTTTCATCACGATATTTTTCTTCATCGTACTAAATGCTTAAGCTTGTGTGGTTATGTTGTATGCTTGCAAATATTGTTTCGTGACCTTTCTTAGGGCCTTAATTAAAAATCAGTGCTGGGAACGCATTTTGAGAACTGCAAAGCAAGAGTGACCCAGTTCAAGAAATCACTTAGTCCATTTTTTAGTTTCTGGATATTGCACATTCGTTTTATTTTTTGTCTTTGAAGCGACTTTAACTTATTTTTTAAAATTTTATTTTTTTAAACATGACATAGATAAATACTTGTTAGAGATAAAACGATGAGAATAAACCATAGCAAATGTATCAGCAAATGGTGGTGATTGTGCTTAAAGTCCCTTAATGGACTTAGAGATTTCTTGAATTGGGGCATTCAGCGCATCCGGCCCAGTCTAGGCCCAATGCGCAATGGGAACTTCACACTCAGCATTAAATTATTTCATGATGAATTGTAATTTCCATTGCGCATTGGGCCCGCTTGGAAATTACAGCCCAAACCCTCTCATTGTATGAGAAGGCCTGTGCCGAACGGTTACCATACTGTAGTAGTGCTATTATTGTTATTAATAGTATACACTAACTATTTACTTTATTATTTATTATTATTTATTACTATTATTATTTACTGTATTTTCGTCAGCCTATCGGCTGGTGTGAACCACAATTAAGTACCGAATCAAGTAAATAAGAGCCTATTTCGTCCTCTCCTATCAGCATGAACTTTCTGATAATGTGGCATGTATTTCAAATTACAACTTTGTGCAAGGTAATGTAGAGGCTTTTTTTATAACTTAATAATTTGAGGCTATGGGGAATACGATTAGGAATAACGCCTGTTGTGGAAAGAACAATTTGGGATAACATGTACCTTTTGTTGTCGCCAAATTCTTATTATTAAACACATAATGTTGGGCAATCATACGTTTAAGCCGCATTTATACCATAAAAGGGTTGAAAGGGTTGTAACCCTAACTAGCCGTGAACAGGTTCACGGCAATGAAATGGGAAACTTCCGGTCTACAAAATTTACTAAAGAAGTAAAGTTTAAAGAAAGGCCCTAAATGGGCCGAGTAACTGAATTACAGATTTAGGTACACGAAGGCTGTAGATTTATAAATTATTACACGTGATTTAGATTATTAAATGATTACAAACGTAGTAATGAACCAGAATTAGCGATTATTCGCGATGGAATTTGGAACAGCTCCGACTGTTGTGGCGGTCGAGTTGAGATTGACCGTGGTACGAAAACAAAATGAGATAGTGAGGGAAGATGGAACAATTCAAATTTAAAATTTAAATACATGTAAAATAAAAAAT